AGTGTGTGTTTGTGTGTGTGTGTGTGTGAGTGAGTGAGTCTGTGTGTGTGTGTGTGAGTGAGTGTTTGTGTGTGTGAGTGAGTGTGTGTGTGAGTGAGTCTCAGAGATGTGCATCTGTGTCCGCAGGAGCGACGAGCTGAAGTTCCAGCAGGATCTGATGAACATCGCGCGCACCACGCTCTCCTCCAAGCTGCTGACGCACCACAAGGAACACTTCTCCAAGCTGGCGGTGGAGGCCGTGCTCAGACTCAAGGGATCTGGCAACCTGGAGGCCGTCCACGTCATCAAGAAGCTGGGAGGCAGCCTGACCGACTCCTACCTGGACGAAGGTCTGCAGCGCACACACTCAACGCCAAAACACACCATTAGTGACCATTAGATGACAGAAATTATCATTGAAATGTAAAAATTAATAATTAAATATGCAATACTGGATATTTGTTTTTAATTATGATTGTAGCGCTGATATCACTACCTCCATCAGAAAATATTATTATTATTAGCTTTGGCAATTTAAATATAAAAGTGATCATTCACAATTAAATATACTGTATAGTTAAATGCTTTTTTAAATTGATTGATTGTGTTCGTAATAAATTTTCCCATAATACCATTATTATTATTAGCAATAATTATTATATTACTGGTATTATTATAATTATTATTAAGTTGTAATTTCATAATAAGAGAAGTTATGCTTTAATATTATTTTCTGATTGATTAAATGTGTTGCATGACAAGAGTAGGGGTGCTCCGATTGATCGGCTGATAATCACGTTGGGATGATTGATCGGCGGTCTCTAAAAGAACGATCTCTTGAACCGATCTCAAGCTGATGACGCTGCTGTGAGAGGTTTGGCATGACATGCAGCGGCACCGTCTCAGTCTCCGTCCGTCCGGTGCGGGTGAAATCATTATAATGCTGAAGGTGAGGTACTTAATTCTTGCCAGTGTTTAACCATTCAGCTCTCACGTGCTGTCCTGGAGACTGAGTGCTCATGCACACTCGCAGCGCACACACATAACGCCAGGTTCACATTACTCCATTTGCAGTGCGTATGCGGTGCGTATTTTTCCGCACTCATGTTAACGGATTAAAGCGTGCACACTGCACACAGTTACGGTCCGGCAGTGCGTTCAGGAGCGGTGCGTCTGCTGCAGTGCAGAGATCGTTTCTGCACAGAGTCTATTGCTGCGCTGCGCTGAATTAAAGTAACAGCTCATTGTTTGCAGTAAATATGAACATGGATTGACACGAAAATGTAGTAATTACACCATAAATGCATATTAAAGTCTACTGTGTTTCACAGTCAACACATATGGCTTGTTGGC